AAAAAAAGGGCGGAAGAGCAGTCAGCTGTCATTGAATTGGATAAATGTCACTCCCAGGATGAAAGAAGAAAAAAGTTGGCTGATGATATTTTGTTAGTGTTGTGTTGTTTTTTCCATTTTTATTATTATAATTTTTATACAATTTTATTTCAATGATGCTTTATCATTTTCATTTACTTATTTATTTCTATTGCTTTCAAAAGATATTTTAAATTACCATTCTATTTTATTTCATTTTTTTTAATATATCAATTCAAATCTTTATACATTTTTTTAATAAGTTTGAATTATTCCTTTTGTATATTATGTTCTTTTAGTTTTGGTTTTATTGTCATATTTTAAATATCTCCCAATGTTAATGCTATTTATTTTCATATAATTTTATTTCAAGAATTTTGTAGCATTTTATTATTGTTTCCCATCATTTTCAATATAAAATTCGATTCACTATTCATTTTTATTTCTATTTTTAAATAATTCCATTCAAAAGTTTGTTTAAATGTTTAGCGACTTTGAATCATATTTATATATTTATATAAAAGTGGAAATCCATTCTTTATTTTTTTTTAATTTATTTTTATTTTCTAACTATTTCACGATTTTATGGTATTCATGTATATTTTAAATAGTAGCAATAAGTAGACTAATATACCGTATTTTAAACGAGATTTATTTTCTTGGTGACTTCTTTCTACGGTTACTGTTTATATTAATGGATTTCACAATGATTTGTTTAAAAAAAGTATTTTACCTGTTTTTCAATATTTTCATGAAATTATATATTAAAATTCAAAAACAATGATATTAATAATTTATTTGATTAATTGTCTTATCTCTTTTGCGCACCCTGCACACATATAAAACCTCCTTTTATATATATATATATATTTTACTAATTGATTTTCATCAATATTCGTTCAAACAAACTACATACTAAAAATTGAAATTGAAATTGCAATTGATTTTCATACATCCATAAATGGAAATTTCTCAAAAAGGATAATTCTAATTCATTCGACCCGACTTTCACCTCTGAATGTGACAATCAATTACATATCTACATATTTATAATTAATCATTTATTCATAACAAATAATAAATAAATTATTTATTTATGAAATTGTTCCAATCGAAATATTCAAAATAGTTTAACTATTGCTTAATTTGGATACAACCACCATTCAGCTTAGGTTAATCTTTAATATTTTATTTTGAGTTTTCTAAATGGATAAATACATATAAAACAAATAGCTACATTGTTTATTCATTTATTTCAATTGAATCATTCAAATTTAAGTCTAAATTTTTTTTGGAGTAAAATTTTAAGTCTAATTAAGACTTACTTTGGATTTATTATTCACTAGAAAACCACCAATCAAATGTGGTCAATATTTAACATATAAGTTTGTTTATAAAAATATAAATTTCACACTCTATGTTTAATTCATTCAATGACAATCTCATTAATTACGCATTTCCAATTTTAACTTATTTGTTCCATTTTTTATTTATACACATAAAATTTATCCTCAAATACCTTTATCTCATATATTTTTCTTTGACATCCTAATAGGTATTCTAAGCAATACAATTTCGATTATCTAATGAATTATCTTAATATAGAAGTTGCAACATGTTTTTTTTTTAACTTTTTTCCGCTAAACAATAAACAATAATACAATATTTAAAAATTGGGTGAACAATATATATATATATATATATATATATCTATATATCTATATATATATATATATATATATATATATATATATATATATATATATATA